GGAGCGCGCGGGCCGCTCGCCGCTCGCCGCCGCTCGCCGCTCTCCGCCGCTCGCCCGCGCACCCGGAAAGGGCTAATTGCTTTGCTACTGAGCAGCCGGTTTAAAAGGAACCCCGGAAAGCCCAAGGGAGCACGGCCCAGATTGTGGAGCAGGGAGAGCCGGGGGCCGTGAGGGTCCCCGGGGCGAGAGGGGGAAAGGGCGGCTCGCCCGGCGGTGGGCATATGGAAGCGGGCTCCCGCAGCAGCGATCTTCCCGCTTGGTTCAAGTTGATTCCGGGCCGCTGCGAGCTGGCACAGGAAATGTTCGGTCTTTCATGTCAGGTTTGCACCTCCCGGCGAGCACTGATTAGTCGGTTGACTTGTGCCGCATTTGAAGTTCACCATTTATTGTTAAGGAGAAGTGGCAGTGATTAGTGCTGAATCCTCAGAGAACTAAATAAATATTTACTAAATAAGAACATTCAGCCATAAAGGAATGGCTCGAACAGGTTTCTGAAATCCCGGCGAGCGCCCGAAGTGCCGCCCCCAGGCAGGAAGAGGAGTTGCGGGGCTTCTCGCCGGAGGCTGCAATCTGCAGACCGCAGGTCCGAGGGGGGACCTTTGTGAATCTGGGCAAAACCGAGAAGATCCCAGGCCTGAGTCAGACTCGGTGGTCTGGGGTTTTAAGTGATTTCATTGGCTGTGTTTCCCAGGGTGAACGTCAGGCTAAACTTTGAACCTTTCTTTAAAAACAGTTTAAACAATGAAGTAGCATCTTATTGCTCAAGTAATAAAGAGGACTGACTTGTACTGCTTCCAACTTTAAGAAGATTCTCTTAGGCCGAGTATGCTCCAAAATGTATCCAAATTGTGAGCATTCAAAGGAGCATATCTAGACGCCTTATTTGGCAAATAAATTATGTGATGGCACGGTTGTCAAAGGCATTCATGTCAGTTATTTTAAAAGTTTTTTCTTAATCATTAGACAGTTTAACTGTAGAAAATGTAGAATATATATATATATCTCCACACATCCATATCATGCTCTATCTCTGGTTCTGTATCATGATTTTTTTCAACCACACTTTTTTTGGTGAGAATTTTCCAATGATATTAAATATTTTAGAAAAAATTTTCAGTTGTGGAGCTTTGAGGTGATTTTCAGCTTCCACTATTATAAACAGCCCAATTAACATCCTTGTTCAAAAATTTTTTTGCATCTTTCTGATGCAAAATACCCAGGTAATGGAAATACCAGGACAAAGCATATGAAAAATTTTAAGCTTCTTAGTGTATCTCGCCAAATTTATAGAATGTAAATTGAAGGCATTCAATAGGTAAAACACTATTTGAATTTGAATTTCTTTGATTATGAGTTGGGTTTAATATTATACTAAGAGCTCTTTCAGAGCAGGGCCTTTTTTTTTTTTTTTTTTTGCTCATCACCATATATACCTGGTGTGTTGCGTAATGCCAGGCACATACTTGGCACTCAATAAATATTTGCTGATTGAATGAATAAACGATTGAATAAATGTTAGTAAGATATTTGAGTTTCTTGTTTTGTCAAATGCATTTTTGTATTGTTCATTTCTCTATTATTGTGACAGTTGTCTTTCCTATTACTTCGCAAACTGCTTTGCCGTAATAAAGATTTAAACTTTTGTCGCGTATGTGGCAAATCTCCCTCTCCTTTATGAAGTATAAGTGTGTGTGCTTACGTGTGTGTACTTTTTGATTTTCAGAAGTTAAAAAAAATTATTTCAAAGTATGCATTTGTGACTCCAGCACACACAAATTAATTGGCTCTAGTGAATACTGTGCAATCTAAGACTTGAGGCAGTTTTACTATTTTAGACAGCTCATTTTCTTTCTTATTTACCACGTTTTTCCTTGGCCTTGAATTTTTTTTTTTTAGGACATAATGTGTTGGGTAAAATGGTATCACCATCTTAGTCTTAGCCTGACAAACACCCAACTCAAGACCTGTTGTTATACTAGGGAAGGATCTGTCAACTCCTTAGTTCCCAAACAACTATCCAGTAAATGCTTCTCGCTGCTCTTCCATTTGCCTTTTTCTTGTCTTGTTCATTATTATTAAAGACATGAATAGAAAAAGGGTCTTTGCTTCTTAAGGGGTTTTCTGCACGGATCTCATCCCCACCGAACACATAATCCCTTTTGGTATCCCACCTGGTTGTGGTTGAAATGACATAGTGTTAGGGACCATGGGTTGGAAATGGAGTGCCATTTTTTGACGTAGTAATGGTTTAAAACTTTGGGAGCATGGATATCTAATGGAGAGAGAGATTAAGCCTTAACTTTCTTTTCTTTGTGTAAGCATTCCCAGAAATAAAAGGATGATACAGAAGCCAAAAACTTGTCTGAGGCAAACACTACAGCATTTAAGTCACAAAGGCTAAATTTGCACATTCCATATGCTTTTGTTAGGTTAGGCTTGAGGCTCAGAGATGGGAAAGTTGCTTGTGTGGAGTAGATTATTTTTTTCTTTTTACCTGCGCACAGTTTGGTTAACCTGCTGCCCTGCTTCATCTTGTCTTTACTCTAGACATAGAGCAGCCTCTATCTGGGACACTGCTGGTCTAAGCTAGAAAAGCCTCTATGAATCCGACACTGGCCCTTATTGCTTCTGCTCAGGTATAAAACACATCACATGGAAATGTTTAAAAGTAAAGTAATTCAGTTTAATAAGCATGTAGCATTGTTTTCTGGGTTACTTGCCTGACTTTTGCAGATGCCAAGGGAGGTAGGCGTTACCAGTGAGAAAAACAGTGAAGGAGAGTTAGCCAATTCAGATTCTGAGTGTTTTACCTCTATTTGTCCTTCGAGGCCCATTGAGTTTCTGGAGTCTTCTTAGATAACTCTAGTCAACACTGACATGCTCCTTCTGCCTACCTTTCATTTATTTACTCATTCCATAACTATTTATGGAAGACAAGAACGCGTAGTGGACAATACAGGCATAGTTTATGTTTTCATGGAGCCGACTTCCTAGTAGGAGGAAACAGATAATAAGTAAGGGCACAGGTCAGTGCGGCAATTTCAGGTGGTGAAAAGTGTTGTGGAGAAAATGCATGCCAGAGAGTGTTGCAGGTGGGGTGAGGTGCTGACTGATGCTGGACGGTTAGGGGTGAACACAGGACCCGAGATCTTACTGAAAACGAACAGCCAGCTGTATCGGGGAAGGACTGGCCTGTACAGAGGTGAGAGCTTGGCAGTATGTCTGATGCTGATGAGAGTGGAGATGTGTGATAGGAGATGGGGTCTCAGAATTCAGCAGGGCCCAGCACATGTAAGCCCTTGTGGCACTTTGGTGAGGAGTATGCTTTTCTTCCCCCGCTTGGTAAGTGAAACAAGAAGCCATGAGAAGATTTTAAACTTCTCAGCACAAGCTCTGATTTGTGTTTATAAGCAATCACTCAGATTGCTGTCTGAAGAACGGACAGAGAACAGTGAGGACTGGAGGCAGACGGACCCACTGAGATCTTGGCGTCTGCTCATTTCCAAACTAAGGCTCTGAGAGTTCCCTGGTACTGGTTACAAGCACCTGTAGAACAGAAACTTGCCCTGTCTCCTCTCCTTCTTCTCTTCCTCTCTTTTTTCTTTTATTCTCCTACAGGCTCTGACAGTGTTAGCATCATAATGGGCTCCCTCACTTGCCATGACTTGGAGGACCCTCTGAGAATTTTTGGTTGTAGAATCGGCCCAGCATTTTTGCCATTTGCCTTGAATGTGTGGAATCAAATTCTTTTAGTGATTTCAGCTCCTTGGAAGAAGGTTACTGCGTAATGAAGAGGTGGTCTTTTCTTTTTATTTTTTCTTCAGTTTTATTGAGGTGTAATTGACAAAATTATAATATTTTTAAAGTGTACAGCATGATGATTTGATACGGGTATACATTCCCACCTCGCCTCATATTACCTTTTTTTCTTTTTTGGTGAGACCACTTAAATTCTACTCTGCACATTTCCATTATACAATATAATATTATCAACTATAGTTATCATGTAATACATTAGATCCTCGGAACTTTTCATCTTATAACTGAAAGTTTGTACCCTTTTACCAGCCTCTCCCTATTTCCCACTTTCCAAACCCTGGCAACCACCATTCTACTCTCTGTTTCTATGAATTCAACTTATTTTTAATTCCACATATAAGTGGCATCATTCAGTATTTGTCTTTCTCTGTCTGGCTTATTTTACTTAGCATAATGCCCCCTAAATTCATCTGTGTTGTCACAAATAGCACAATTTCCGTCTTTTTTTAGGACTGAATAATATACCGTGTATGTGTGTGTGTGTGTTTGTGTATCATATTTTCTTGATCCATTCATTTGTCGATGGCCACTAAACTTGTTTCCATATCTTGGCTGCTTGGCAATGAGCGGACGTCTCTTCCAGCTAGTGATTTCATTTCCTTTGGCTATATACCCAGATATGGGATTGCTGGATCATATGACAGTTATATTTTTAGCTTCCTGAGGAACCTCCATATTGGTTTACATAGTGGCTGTACCAGTTTACATTCCCAACAGTGTACAAAGGTTTCCTTTTCTGCACATCCTCGCCAGCATGTGTTATCTTGTCTTTTTGTTAATAGATATCCTAACAAGTGTGAGGTGATATCTCATTGTGGTTTTGATTTACATTTCCTGATGATTAGTGGTGTTGAGCACCTTGTCCTGTACCTGTGGGCCATTTGTGAATCTTCTTTGGAAAAATGCCTATTCAGGTCTTTTGACCATTTTTAAATTGAGTTATTTGGTTTTTTGCTATTGAGTTGTATGAGTTCCTTCTGTATTTTGTAAATTAACAAAACATGTAATTTGTAGTGGTCATGAAAATATTGTATGATA